TTTCCCTGTCTTCCTGAGATTTGGTGAGATCTGAAAATTTTTCAGGGAAGAACACGGTGCAGCTGCAGAGAGTGATGCGGAGGTGGATCACACAATCATGGCCTATTCCAGTCCATGCTGGGAGGCTTTAATTTGCATGCTGGGTCATCCCAGGCAATACAGGGGAGAAGGACAGCATGGTGGCTAAGAAAGCATCAACTGGAGTACACCAATTAAGGTCTTTGTCACTTACTAGGTGTGAGTTACTAAACTTTTTCGACTCTCAGTTTCCTTATCTGTAAAATGGGATCATAATAATATATACTTTCTAGGTAGGGATACTACATATAAAGCTGTCATGTTGAGAATGGTGCTTGTGAAACTTCATGCATTTCTATATAAAAGAAAATATGCCAAAGAGGAAACTCTTATAACAAATATTTAAAACTGAGTAGGAAAAAAGGCAAGTCCTCATTTTGAAACTGATTTCATTCCAGAAGTTTAAGTCAGTTTGGCATTTACGCGATTTTTCATAGAATAGTGCTACAGTTTAACTGACAAATGTAACTGACATGCTGTATCTTTGTGACCAAAGTAATAGAAGACAGTGTTGCTGTGATGCTATTAATTAAAGCAGAGACCCAATAGTGAAGACAAAAGTTTTTTGTGTACATAGAATATGCTGGTACTTGAGGAAAAGCCAGTTTAATTAGGAGGGGTTGAGAAAGTAGAAGGTTCTTTTGTGGAGATTCTGAAAGGGACCTCTTGGTACTTTCAAGGGCTTGAGATGTTGACGACATTGGTCCTTCATTATGTCTCACTTCCTTACACCACTAACAGGACTTTGGCAGTCATCAGGCAAGCTTAGGATACAATTTTAGTTCCCATATGGAAGAGAATAAGAGAGAGAAAGGATGAGGGAACAATAGTTTTATGAGGTGACTGAGCAGCGTTGGAAGAAAGAGGGTGTGAAGGGGAGAGGATGCAAGCTGGAAGATGAATAGGCCTGGAGTGGGGAGTGGAGGAGGGAGGCGGCGAAGTGCACTCATCTCCCTGGTGAAGGTGGAAGGAGGGCAGGCTTAGCCTCAGAGCCCTATGTCAGAGTGCACCCCAAGGGAGCTGACTGCCAGGGGAAAGTCACTGGTAGAAACGTGTGTGAGGGTCACAAATCCTGTGCTTGAGACCCTCAGCTCAGAGGCGGCGACCTCCTCTGCAGAAAGGGGACATCAATCCTGTCTTGCAGGCTGGCTATGATAATGTGAAGAATGGTTCTTAGGGAAGCCCAAAGGAAAAGAGGTTGAGCCTATGAAGTGGGGACTTCTCCTCTCTAGAATATTGAAGGTGCTAAATCTTGATGGAAAGAGACAAAGGCTGGGATTTAGAAGCGAGAATCTTGCATCAAAATATATCATGAACCAAAAGATAACTGTGAACTTGCCAACTTGATCCAGCTAGATGACTATTCTGGTATTTTAAACTTTTCTTTCTAAGCAAGATAGAGGAGAGGTGGGCAAATAATAGATGGAGTTCCTCTTCTCTTTCAGGGTCTTAGAAGAAATAAACCAATGAGATGTAAGCTCCCCTCCCGAGATTTTTGAGGCAAATCCTTGGGGGAGAAGGCTCAGTGAAAGGCAGGTTTTGCTCCAATGGGCAGGAGCTGGTGGGAGCATTCCTAGAGATGAGTCTCTACCACACCTTGCCCCGCCCCCCACCCCAGAATGGTTAAAACTTAAAAGACAGATTCCCTCAAGTATTGGTAAGGCTGTGGAGAATACATTCTTAGTGATTGTGTAAAATGGAATAACAGCTTTGTGAAGAGGCTTGGTAGTTTCTTATGTAGGTAAACATGCACTGAAAATCCAGCAGTTCCATTCTTAGGCATTTACCCATAAGTTAAAAAAAAAAAAAAACAGGAACAAGAATGTTTGTAGCAGCTTTACTCATAGTATGGAAAAATTGCAAAGAGCCCTTATGTCCTCATGAATGAATAAAAAAATTAAGATATATTTCCATAGTGGAATACTATTCAGCAATATAAAAGGAATGAAATTAACTGACGCATTCAACAACATGGAGGAATCTCAAAATCACACTGAGTACCTACTGTATGATTCCATTTATATGAAGTTCTAAAACAGGCAAAACTTATTTACATATAGTGAAGAAAAGCAGAAGAGGAGCGGTTGCTTCAGGATTGGTATTGGCATCAAGATGGACTGGGCATGAACATGAGGGAATATTCTGGGGTGATGGACATATTCTATATTTTGATAGGGGTGTGGGTTAAATGGATGTTTGCATTTGTTAAAACTTACTGAATTGTACTAGGCTTTGTGCATTTCACTGCATGTAAATTTTACCGTATAATAGAAAAGAGCCATAAATTATTGAACTCCAGCTAATGAAACACATGCTGAAATGTTTAGGGGTAAAGAACAATGATGGCTACAGCTATGATGGGTTGATGGATAGATAGATGCATAGATATGTGAAAAAGCAAATGCTGTTAGCTCAGGTTACCATAACAGAAATACCATAGGTTGGGTGGCTTAGACAACAGAAATTTACTTCTCACAGTTCTGGAGGCTGGGAAGTTCAAGATCAAGGTATCAGGTGATTTGGTTCCTCATGAGAACCCTCTTCCTGGTTTGTAGACAGACATCTTCTTGCTGTATCTTTACATGGCAGAGACAGAAAACATCTCTCTCATGTCTCTTCTTATAAGGGCACTAATCCCATTCATGAGGGCTCCACCCTCATGACCTATTTATCTCTCAAAGATCCCACATTCAGATAGCATCACATCGGGGATTAGGGCTTCAACATATGAATTTTGGGAGGATACATACATTCAGTCCATAGCATAAATGGAGGAAAATATAACAATTGGAGAATCTAGGTGATGGGTATATGGGTATCCACTGTATAATTATTTTGAATTTTCAGCATATTTGAAAATTTGTTATAAAATAATGCGCATGAAAATCTGGTCTGGTCTGGAATAGTTCAGCTGGGCCAGGTAGATAAAAATAAAACAAGAGTCTAGCCATTGATAGGGGCTACTGTGGTGGGCATTACATTTTTTTTTTTAAATTATGATGACATCTCAAGTTCGGACCTTATTCCCTTGACTCAGTTTTGGATGGAATAGACAGGGTACCAAGCAAATGAACCTGCGGGCATCTTCTGTAGCATCCTCCATAAACCACATCCATCCCAAGACAAAGTATGTGGTTGGGCATTTCTTTATTTCTAACTTTAACCTTTTCTCTATTCATCAGACAGATAGATAGATAGAAAGGTTGGTAGGTTTTTTTTTTTTTTTTTTTGCGGTACGTGGGCCTCTCACTAT